CAGATAGCTCATCTCGGTTAGAGGTGAGTACATTGATACCGATTTGACCGTGAACTGAGTCACACAAAAACTGAGATACGCGCTTATACGGCGTCGTATTTTATATTTGTTAACTTTTCACGGGCAAAGTGGGGTTATACAACTAGTAATATATAATAATCGTATTAAAATATATAATAATATACTATATTATTTATGCGCGCACGCGATATCCACCGATTTTAAACCGGTTCGTCTGCGTAACAATATAATATGATAAATCTGTGGTGTTGCAGGGTATGCGCGTGAGTTGCACGACAATTTAAATATGATAGGTATGTCTTATAATATTATTATTATATTTACGTGTGATTGTTTATTTTCAACGTTATTTTTACCGTCGTGTTATAAATTCGAAAGATAAAAAAAAAATTAATAAATTATAATAATAAAGCCAATTCATAATATTATTATTATTATTATATCGGTACGTCATACCACTAAACGATATTATGTAATATTATTATGTATTGGAAACCGCAAGTGATGTGCGCGTGTTAAAAATTAACAGATTATACGCGATTTCATTTTGCATTTTTGTATTATAGTATTTTAATATAAATATAGGTATCTTATATTAATTATAATATATACACGCACGGAATTGTAAATTGTATAATGTAACGTCGTAAATTATTGATATATTTACAGATACCCGGCATGTTTTATTAATTTTAGCAGTATTATTATTATATGGTAAGTACCACTTTACGAAAATGTGCGTCTGCACTCGAAAATCACGTTGCGCACTTCGTTTAATACCTACCTATGTATCGTTTATAAATGACTCTATGATGAATAAATCGCTCATACTTGTCCACTGCGATTTCATTCATTTTGTCGTTATTGTGTATAAAATCGCACCATTGCACAGACATTATAGTACCGATCATCTGTTCTAGAAGTAGTTATTATTAATTTATTAAGAGGTCGCCACACCCGCGCGTGTGTTTTGTGTCTGTTTTGTAAACTTTAACATGCATAACCTACACACAGCATAGTAAATTTGTGTAAAGCCAGTTCCGATTTTGTGTACTAAGCTTTAATATTAGAGTGAAATAACCTGTAATCAAACTTAATGGTAAGAACATCATCTATAGGTATGTACTTATAAGTGGTTATTTTACGATATCTTAATTTTTAAACAAATTATTAAATACCTACAATATAATAAAATATATTATAAGTAAAATATTATATTAACCATACGTTCTATGTTGTTGGTACATAAAATTTATTATAATGTCTTAATGATTGGTACATTGAACTATTTATTATTTAGGTGTTTTCATCCTGAATGAATATTTTTTTTGTTACATATATATATTATTTATATTTTATTCTTTTTTATAATTGATTTGAACAGGAAAAAAAATACTAAAATATTGATGAAGCTATTTGTTTTTTTAAGAAGAAAAATATTTGTTAACGTGATTAAAATTACAAATTATGATGTTTGTACATCAAATGGCTCCATATAATGGTATTTTACGGCAATATAGGGCATATTCCATGCAACTATAGGTTTTTACTCACATTATCTAAGTATTAAAATAATACATAATTTACGTTAAGGGAAAAATATTCTCTATAGGTAGATTAACTCATAAAACAAAATCATCTAATTATTTTTTACGATACAGATAATATAATATAACATAGTGAATAAACAAATACAATATTCACATAATGCGCTTGTGATATTATTCGTAAGTTCGATACTACTGAAATCCACAAAAAAACATATACCTACCAACTCTATTTTTACACATTTTTCTCACAGTTTATACATATTATATTTATATATTTAAATGGGTTCCTTTAATATATTATTACTTGGACATTCCAAAGAATTATTTCTTATCGTATATAATTATCGCATGTAAAAACTTTATCTGATAAAGGACAACAAATTGTTTAAATCTAAATATTGAGATTCAGTGAAGTCTATTACTGCCATTGAGTTTTAAAAATTATAAAAGTTTAACACATTGATAACATTTATAAAATTATTTATATCATATTATGTTTTCAAGTCTGAAACTTCTAAACACATCTTTCAAGTATAATTAAATAACTGTATGTTTATATTACTTCATAAATCCATCAAAACTATTTGAAAAAAGAGCTGGTAAGGTTTAGGTATATAATTTTATCAATCGAGTTAAAAAAATTTAATTTTTTTGATTTGATTTAATTAACAAAACATTTTAGTGGAATTATATTTTTTTAATTAATTTCATTTATCAAACATACAAAATAATATATTATTACACTACAGTTTTACAAAACCAGAATGAACATTTTTAATATATAACAATCAGTATGCATAGACTTCATAATGGGTTAACAACGGAAAGTATATATTATAGTTATATTTACTCGTAGAATATTAGGAAAATTTTTTTCAAAAACAAAATAGAATGACGATTGACAAATAGTGATAGACAATGTCACAAGGATTAGTAACAAAGGCATTACATTTTATCTTTGACGGGACGGGTTACCAGTATAAAGATTTAAAATATTGTCATAAAGTAAATATGTCAAGTATAAAACAAAAGAAATAGTAATTTAATGGCTGATATTGTGTTACTGAAATTCTAAAAATACAAAAGATATAGTTTAGAGATTTCTAAAGAAATGTAACTATATAAGTGGTAATAATTCTGAATTTTTGATACTAGAAACAAAACGTATAGACGAGTATACGACAAACATAAGATAGAATTTTAATAATATATATTGAATGAAAGAAATATGAAAATTATAAACGAACCTGTATTATAGTACTAGAATCAAAAAAATCAATTAAGTCTCATCTCCAACCTTAATTAACGTGAACCCAATAAAATGTAGCGCTTAAACCAAAATTAATTGACTGGCATATTATCTTATGAACGTAGAAGAAAATATGACTGTAGAAAGTGAAGATAACAAAAGATTTACAAAAGTAAATATGTATATATTTACTGTCTTAAATATATACATATTTAAGACAGTATTAAGAATATTACAATTTATAAATTATAATAATTAATAATCTATAATTATATGCTTTAGTAAAAACTATAGTGTAATTTAAATTAATAATAAGATATTCCCAATGCAACAAATCTCTGTAAAAGCCTAAGAATATGTCAACGCATTATTTGATTTCCTCCTTAAGCCCACACGTAATATAGATCACAAACATTCACTCAAAATCATATTTTTCTATGTTTTTTAGGGATCTAAGAGCTAAATTGCCATTCAAAATGTTATGAATAGAGCGCGGATTTCTATGCCATTGCATATTTTTTTCCTTTTAATATTTTTGGATTTTTGTCAGTTATCTCCACGAATTATCATAATTTGAAGCTAATGGTGAAATTTTTTTTTGCATATTTCTGCATATTTGAAGGTTATTGCATATTTTTGCATATTTTGACAAAATTCAAAATTTATTGCATATTGAAGCGAAAATTTAAAAAAATGTATAGGATAATATTTTGTCAAGTAGAATGATTTAAAATTTATATCTATTCATTTGGCATTTTTAGTGATAAAAATAGTCATAAAAAAAACTGGAAACTCGAAATATGACTTTATATCTAAGCTTTTCAATAATTGACGAAACGAAAGAAAAAATGCATTCTATTCCTGGATTGAAAGGTGTAACACTTACAACAAAATTAAACGAACTTTCCAATAAAAACGAAGGTCTGAAAATTCTACGAAAAATTAATTCAGTGTTATTAAGTGAAAACGTTCATCTTGAAGATCTTTATCAAGATCCGACAATACTAAGTTGCTTCAAATATGCCCCAATAACTTCGGTTGACGTCAAACGTTCGTTCTCAGTCTTTAAAAATATGTTAATCGATAAATGATACAACTTCACAGAAGAAAAACTTGAAATGCATATGATTATTAATTTTAATAATAAATACAATTTTAAAAATAAATTAAGTTTAGAAATTATTTATTATTAAGTATTTAAGTAATTAATTATTATAAGTTTTATTGTAAATTTTAAATAAATAAAAAATTCTTGTATATTTTTGCATATTTTCATAATTTTGACTGCATATTTTCATTATTTTTACTGCATATTATATGCCATATTTCGATACTTTTAAGTGCATAAAAATCCGCGCTTTAGTTATGAATAATAATATTTTTGAGAGTTTGACTTATCAATTTGACTAATATTTTTTATTTTTATTTATTTTACGAGGCAAGTCTTTTAACACAATACAATATAAAATAGTAATCTAAATAACTAAATACAATATACGCAAAACTTTGTTTAAATCAATAGGTGCTGAGTATAATAATATAACCGTGTATAAATAATAAGATATTAGTTTGAAAATATATTATATAAAACTTTCATCCTAAAGCATTCGTGGAACATTCAAAATACTATGCATTTTTCATATATTATGTATTTTATTATTTTTAATTATTTAAATTCTTCAATTATATTATAAAAGGTTTAAGTTCGTTAAACTATTTATAAATAAACAAATATTATTTAAATAAATTATGCTAAATACTTATTTTATTCACTGTTATATTTTCAACAAAAAAATTAAATTTGTTTAACGTTACTAAAAGTTTCTAAACCATCAACCGTAAATACATAATAAAACGTATAAGTACAATACTTAAATATTTAAAAAAATAATTTATATATATATTAAAAATTATAGCATATAAAATACAATATTATATTTTTTAAATACCTTTACTAGCTATACGTACCTACAAGCTATCTAATAGTAAACAATTTTAAAAATTCATAACATAAATTGTATTTGTAGCCTTGTAGGTAAGTACAGTATTACATCATTTCTTTAGATTTTTTTAAGGTAAAGAAGATGACAAAAAAAAAAGTTTAATTTTCTAGTTGACATATAAATTATTACGATTTAAAACAATAAATATTATAAATTATCTATATTTAATTTCTATGATTATTTATTTACTTAAATTACTAAAATACAGTTTGTATTAGCACTGTGCTTGTTGATTGTATCAAAAACTTTGTATTAAAAAGCATACGCATATATAAACTAAAAACTTTGTATTTATTTCATTACATCATGTACCATAGGTAAGCACATGTACATACGTGTAAAATTTTCATTAAATAGTTATGAATGAAACTTGAGTAAATCATGTTTGACATTTTATACTTACAAGTTACAATATGCCTATGAACATGACATTATATATTACTCTCGACATAAACTGTCGTTATGAACATTTTACATAAAAAAAAAAAGGCAATGAAATCAGGCATTCACTGTAATAAAGCGTTTAAAAGGCACTATAATTTTGGAGGTTTTGCACACCGCATTTTACATATTATAAATAAGAATTTGTATTGTATTACAATGTCACTTCGGGCAGTCTACCCACATTTTTGTTCGATTATCTTCGGATTTGGTGTGTATCCTGTTTATAATTTACTTTTATAGGTGTCTTATTCAGAAAACTTAGCCCGTGTGAAATCGTTTAACGCACCCATAGAAAAAAAAATAAATGGGGAAAGAAAGAAAAAGATAAAGGGTCGTCGAAAGGGCGATCGTTTGATTAATCGTTGAGTGGTCTCCGTCATTGACGCCCTGTACAGACCATTGCTACAGCAGTATTATGTATAAGGATAGAATACAATATGTTTAACAAATTATAATATGTGTGGGCGATATTTCGTATACCACCGTGATGAAATTATTATCATGCTCGCTACCATTTTTATTCCATAGTGCTAAAATAACCTATATAATATTATTGAACTGCATATCATGCATATAACAATAATAATATATTAATATGCTTATTGCACATGTACCTACACCTATATATATATATATATATATAGGGACGAATAATCGGCACGTTACACATATCGTTTGTACTCGGCATATTATATGTAGCAAAGACATGTGTATGAAAAAAAAAAAAAAAATCAAAACGAAATAAAATAAAACGCATTTTATCGATCTATTGCGGATACGGGAAGGAGCTGCATAGTTTACATAGTTCTGAAATTCTATAATTTATTTTATGGTAACAATATACGTATTATTATGAACTAGACATATTTGTCGACAGTAGAATTTCACATATTAAAAATCTCTCATAAATATAATATATCAATAAAAATAAACATCGTATAAACAATTAATTTTCTACCCCCTTAGACAACTTACAGATTCGCTACTGGTATCAATAACATATTATATTGATTATAATATATTACAACATCGCGGTGGCGATTACCCCATTTATTCCGTTTGATCAAGCAATCGACTAGTTGTTGTTCGATGACTTTCTTGGGACTCACTTCTCGAGTAACCGTAATTAACGCTTCCAGGATGTTCATTACCTGCAACACAGTATTTCATCCGTCAATCATAACAAAAACAACAGTTGTAGTACTATTAATTACAAGTATTCTCTCAAAAATTAAAAATCCAAGATGAAAAATAAAAATAAAAAATACAAACGAACATAAAATGAATGAAAAGTGATAAAAAAATTAATTTATCAATAGATGTATATGCGAATAAAATATAATTAGTCAAACGGTTGTTGACCTTTTACAAATTGTAATCTAAATTAAAATAAATAAAAAAACATGTAAATAAATACTAATTTCACAGCTTTTAAAATCAACATTAATGTATCATCACTCATCATTGGTTGGCTTCTTTATTGAATTTTTATTCTGTGTACTCATGTATTTGTCTCTTATCATATATACACATAATGTCATCTGACATAAATTAGATATTTCGACTTAAAAAAAAAAAAGTTTGAATCTAACATATGCATAACGCTGACCTATTTAATTATGACGAACACTTAACAATAACTTACAGCAAATGTTTTAAATTTATTACGTTATTCAAAATTATTTTGGAATTTAAAGATTTTAACTAAAACTTAACTACAATAGAAACATAGTAATTTTACATTATTTTTAAAGTTATTGTAAATGTATAATTTACTATAATTAAAAAATCTTATCAACTATTTGTTTCAAAAAATATTTAATTATTAAAATAATGTATATAATAAATGGCTTACTTTCATTGCAATACATTGTATACTCGTCAAACGTGTTATTACAAAACGACAATTGTTGATTAGATAAATCATCAGATACAATTGGATTTCCTGTTACTGCAAATCGAAAAAAAATTAAGCCATAACAATAAGCCATGTTTTTAATGGTTGCCAATATTTCTCATTTACTTTGAAATGGAACACATAATTTTTCATCTAATACATTTGCCCAATTGTTCTTATGAGAGTATGTAATTTTTTCATACGGCGTGATGCCTTGAATTCCTTTTTGTGTCACCATGTACCATTGACACCTGTACCACAAATCTTGAATTTTCCCACTCCCTGAATTTTATTAAACAAAAATATCAGTGTTGTTATGGGCTACAGAATATTATTTTTGCTTAAATTTATGTTTAAAAATTAAATTATAAGTGTGTTTAGATATTTTTCCTGATTAATAATTATTTTCATGTAACTTTTTAAAATATATACATATAGCATTTTAAAAATAATAATATTTATAAACCAATAATAAAGAATATAGACGATTTATATAGTTAAAAAATTATTAATGAAATATAAAATCGATTTGAATGAACATTGTATAAATATGAACCCACGATAAATACAATATATTAAACTTTTTATCTTAAATTATATTTTTTTTAACAAGGTCACAAATTAAATTGTTTCAATACACTAAGTACTACTTACCCATATTATATAAGACATTTCTTGTGTTTTTTGTTAACTTTTTAGATGCCTCATCGAATGTAAAAAATATTACTACATCCCCAACTTTAACCATATGATCAAGCCATTCGTCTAAATTGGAACTATTATACTCATACGTATCAAAGTTTTTAACATCCATGATAGTATATGTAGTTGACTCTATTACAGCTACGTTGATACCACGACCACCTGCAGTTCGGTTGAATGACATAACGCTATATAAATTTAAAAATAAAAAAATTTTATATCAAATACTTATTATCATGTAAGTAAAAAATATTTATGATTATGTTTTGAATTTAAGTGCTTTAAAATTTGTATGTACGATTCCAAATTAGTGACACGATTTTACTATTATATTGAAATTAATTATTGATATAATTGAAACATTTTTTTCTGTTCCAAAAAATGTCTTTTTAGTGACACACAAAAAAAAATCATTGTCATATAAACTCAAATTATTCATTCCTCCACTCAGAATCATTAAAAATTGACATTGAGATTTAAAAACTACTTTATGTTACAATTTATAAAAATAGATCAAAAATATGAAGAAGAAATTTAATATAACATTAAACAGAAATTCGGTTTTATATTTTTCAAAAATGTGAACAAAATGTCTTTAAAATAAAAATAAGTTAAACAGCGTAATTTTGTGATTATCAATGGTAAAGTGTAAACAAAATTATAAAACTAAAAGCTATTTTCACATTATAAAATATATTTTTTGTTGTTTATTTTATTATATAGACAGTAGTATGATTCTTAACAGTTTGGTATAACTCGTATTAGATATAACAGATATATAATACCATAGACCAGAGATAGCTAACCCACGATCCGCTTTGAAAATTTTTGCATTCAACAAAATTTATCATACATTTGCAAAAAAAAAATTGTAGAAACAAAATATCCTACTAAATAAATAAATTAAAATTATTTTATTATCTATGTTTGTTTATTATAAATTTATTCTGTTTATTTTAATTGATTAATATACCAAAATTTATTTTGGTTTTTTCAAATCTAAAATATATAATTTTGTACGCGGCCTGTGAGCTTTTATAATATATTTCCAAATCGTTTGGGTTGGCCACCCCTCCATAGACTATACTCATAGCATAGGTACTATATACAGTTATACCAACTATGGCTCCGAGTTATGACTTACGATAAACATTTTGAATCATGTAAAATTAAAATATAAATTCTACAAATATTTAAAAAAAAAAGTAAAAGGTATTTATTTTCAGCTAACCTAACCTATCCATAAAATAAACCCGAAGTTATCAACCACTAACCAGTAACCTTTCTAGGAATATAGGTCAATAGTAATAACAATTAATTTTACCATTATCAGTCAATCGCGTAATAAATAATCAGATAATTTATTGCTATATTGTATTCTATATTTTATTCTATATATTACATATATGTATATTGAATTTATCATTATCGGTCAGTTGCAATAATGAAAATAGTTTATTATTATCAGTTGTAACTCAATTACTCGACTGTCAACAACTGTTGATCTTTTATTTTTACTCATCAAACAAATCTTCTAGAGTAATTGAAAAAGATGGCGACCTCTGTATTAATTATGCTCTATAAGTAAACTCAATATGTAGGTCTTACAAAATGTTTTAAATATAAATACTGATTATTTTACCCATAATTAGATTTCCACTCAAAAATTATTATTTTGATGACAAAGTCCACTCATTTTCTTTACCCTTTTTTATGTATACTTAATGATTAATAAATATTATAAAAATCAGTAAAAGTTAATATATGTATTTAGTTGTAAAACTATTATTATAAACGATTAATGATAATTATAACTATATGCATTTTCAATTACGATTGTTAAGTGTTATACATGTTTTCATCAATATAGTTTTAATACATACTATTTGCCCATAATACATAATCTTGGAAAGTCAGTCTTGTTTTTTCCTGTATATATATGAATTGGAAAAGCATTGTCCGAGCAAATGGTTTGTAATCCACAATTTGGTAGAATTTCAATTACTTCAATTGTTGGTTTTCCGTTGTCATATCCTAAAAATACAAATATAAATTGATTAGTAATCAATAAAATTTTTTATATCAGTAAAAATTGAAAAAATGTAGGTACTAACAAAATAAAAATATAATAAAGTTATTATAATTTTAGTAATATTTCTAATTAAAATATAACCTTGTAAAACTAATTGAGTATTCCTCGTCTAAAAATGTGTCAATACTCATATTTTGAAATAAAATTAATCTAAGCAGGTAGGTAAGTATAATATTTTTGGTAATAATATATATTATACTTATAAACTGTCAAATTAAATAACAGACAGATATGTTATAATAAGTGTTCGGATATATGTGTGTATATTTATAATAAAAACATGTATATAAATATGTGCTATAAAACTCAAAATATTTACGACCTAGATTTATTGTTTAAAAATGTATTATGTTTTATGAAACCTAATTAAGTAATTAAACAAAAAAAATTAATAAATATTAATTGGTAAATGATAAATTGTCTTAGCTGTAATTTATAACGACATGCACATTTAAATTCTCAAATTCAAAGAATCACCGATTTTGTTGTAAAATTGTTTTATACCGACTAAAATATCTTTTAACATAGCTCGATGTTATTGAACAATATTGCATGTTAAGTATGTCTAAAGATGAAATGATATTTCAGCCGAAAAAATTGTATTAAGAAATAATTAAAAAATATAATAGTAGTTTTACACGTCGAGTTCTACATTCGTTAATCGTTTGACCTAGCAACGTTTATAGCCATGTAAAAATACGTCTGGTCGAAACCACCGATCCGATGATATTAAATTATACTATTCATAACAATTAGTTTACTTATGAAAAGTTTTTAATCACTTTATACTCTGGAGGAAAAATAAAGCATACATCAAAAAAGTTTTTAACGTATTTACTATCAAAATTATTTAAATATGTGAGGAAAATGGAATAATTATTTAATATATAAAAATATGTATTCACATATAAATACGAACCCTAATAATAATTTAAACTTAAGAGTTTAAATTAGTTAGATATAATAACAAGTATCAACCCAATAAACATGTTTGAAATCAATTAAACTTGAGAAACAAATAAAAATATAAGACCTAAAAATACATATATTATACTATATGTACTTAAATAGTATATTATTTATAAAAAGTAAGCTAGACTAATTGATTAAATTTATTTAGTGGATAGAAGGATTGTTTGTTGTAGGAATAATAATATGATATAACAATTCCACACTACAGCTAAAGATGAATTCTTTGATAAGTCTGTATTAAAAAATAAGGCTTATAAACTGAATTTATATTTTTATTTTTAATAACATGTGTAAATGTGCAACACCATGTCATATTACGAGAAAATTTTAAAATCTTATGAAATTATTTTGTATGAATTTATGATTAATACCTACTTATCTAATAAAAATATATTGTATAGTATTAGTATATACACTAAAACATTATACAAGTTGTTTTATAAATTAAATATTTAATTACGCATAAAGTTTACGTATTTACCGACCGTATAACATTTTAGTAGAGTTCCATGAAGTCTTCATAGTTGTTATGGAAGATTTTTCATTCTTCAGGTGAAAATAATCCATGTAAACCGACTTGTATAGTAAGACAACCATTACGATGATCAAGCAGATAACGAATCGGAATGACGGACCTATTTTAATATATAAAAAATAACACATCAGGATATCGAAGAAAAAATTACGTTATTTCCGTGAAGTCCATCATCGTTTGTATTGGCTTACTCGACAGGATGTCGCAAAGCGAATCGTCCTTTCTCGTTCTGTTGTTACTATGATCACTTACGCTATTGCCGGCCCCGTTTCTCAAGTCACGTACAACCGGCAACAGTCCCAACGTGTCCTTTCTCTTATATTTTCTAGTGAAATTCCTTAAGACAAGCAATTTAAATAATAATAGTTAATTAATATTTAATACAAATACAAATGCGATAATAATTAAAAATAATATTAAACATATACAATTTATAAAAATGATCCATGTACTATTCATTCAAATAATTCAAAAGCATATATGTATAATAAAATAGTAAAAAAATTAATATTAAACAAAGTTAAAAAAAAGTTATAAAATACTTAATACTAAATAATATTTTATATTATCAAAACATAATGTTTTCTATGCACCATGTACCTAACCTTAAATTATTTCATCTTATTCATTATTTTTCCATATGATATATATTTTAAATAATTTTATCACAAAATAAATAAGTAATAACAATAAACTATTTTATTGCTATGATACAACAGTTTAAATGCATTAATGTCAAGTATGTCGATTTTAAATAAAACCAAATCATTCTATTAAATATTTTAAATAATGCAATCAATATTTACCATAAGTATCTAAATTAATTTACTTTAAAGTTATATTCTGGACACATTTAAAGGTATACGTACACTATACTATAATAAATCATAAAAAATTATCTATATTAAATTATATTTGTTATTAGTATTGTTACTATCGACTTTTTTGTTTTAAAAAAAAATTTAAAAAAATACTATTAATTAGATTTACTAAATTTTTTAATTTTATCGTATTCATTGTTAATATAAACAATTCATTCTGCTGCATAAAATATATTGAGTATACACCGCATAATTAAGTAGATCGCTATACAAATGGTTTATAATGTCTGCGTTAAATTTGAATTTAATTATAATATATTTATTCTATTATTAATCTATTTCTGTGTTATTAATATAACAGGTTTAAGTTGAACTAATTTTTGCCAAAAAAACCCCTTTATTATATGATAACCATAATAATATCACATATAATATTACTAACTACGTATATTATCTTACAGGTTAGGACAGTAAAACAGTTTAAAGAGATTCCATGGTATAAATTGCTTAAATATTTTAAAAATTGTATCTTATTGTATTTAGTAAATAATAATTAATGAAATAGTAAAAACTTTTAAGTCCCTAATAATTAAATTTTTGAATTACAGCAAAATAACTTTAATCTTTTTTTTTTTGTTTGAACATTCAATCATGTAAATTTTTATTTGTTATATCTATATGAAAATGTAAATATGTATTTTTAATAGTTCTAGGTTACTATAAGAAAAACTTATGACGAACCATGTATTCAATTTTCAAAGTTTTTTTTCACAAACGAAAATTGTATCATACATAAATAAAAAAAAAACTAAAATAGATAAATTAAAAATTAAAAAACGTTACAGATTAAAGCACACAAAACAAACCACTATTTAAAAAAAAAATAATATAAAAAGCTAATTTAAACATATTTGGTGAATGTATAAAGTCTCTACGGTTATTAATTTTTGAGTTAAGTGCAGTAAAATTCTCCTAAAATTTGTCCCACAAATTTAACTAAATAAATAAAAAAAAAAATAACAAATAATTAGCAAATGATGCAAGTTCATTTTCAAAATAAAGCCCAATACAGGTAGTCCATTTAGTACCCAAATTATCCGGTCCACTTCAAATATATGCCAAAATTACAAATAAAAACAAATAATAGCGAGTTATTTTTTTTATTGTAAGTAATACATTTTCAATTAGATAAATATTAGGTTAATTTTATTTTCGGCATATAAACCTATCTTTAGAGTGGATCGAATAAAATGGACAGACTTACTTGAAGTTAGCCCACTCAGTGTAAAATTTAATTTGCTATTTGTTAAGTGACTTGTTAATTTCGAGAATCAACTTGCTATTATTTGCTATTTTTTGATATACATTTATTCATTAAGAGCGAATCGTATAAAATGGGTGGACTACCTGAACTTGCCTCACTTAATTGAAAATTAACCATAAAAAATATAAAAATTACTTATTAATTTTGAAAACCAATTTACTAATAATCAGCTATTTATTAATTATTCACTATTTTTTAGTTTATATTTGGAGTTAATTGTATAAAGTGGGTAATCCAACTTCATGATCATGAATGTCAATAAAAAATCAAATAGATTTTGCAGAAAACTAGTTTTGTGTAAATATTTTTAAATTTTTAATTTTTTTCCAATTATTTTGAAATATACTGCAATTTTATTTGTATATATTTAATTTTCTTTTAATGGAAAATAATTCCAATCAGGTATCAAAGAGAGCATCGTCAAAGTTTAAGATTTCATCTAATTACTGTTTTTAAAAGTGACATCAGGCTCAGAAAAAAAAACACACTTCATTATTAAACCAAGTACTAGAATCTAAAACAAATAATAACAATAAAAAATATAATATTCATTCGTGGAAACGTTGATTAAAAAAGCCTTATAATCATAACCTTTTTATATTATGACTAATGCATGTTTTTTATCTTCGTTATTCACTACTGTTAGTATAATTTATTATATGATTATAGTTGAATCATTGATTAATGATTCTCTATTAAGTAAACAATAGTTATTAGACAATTAGTGAACCAACTATATTTATTTATGCGTGGATTTGTTATCTTAATCTATTATTCGTACGTCTTAAGTCCAACAATCACATATAGTAAATTTACTTTTTATAAAATTATCACTGCGAATTCTTTTTCAATTTCGAAGATTGTATTTGATAGTTAATAACTTTCTTTAAACAAATTATTTTTATGATATTATTAAAACTGTGTCAGATGTCAATGTACTATTGTTTTAAGTTTGTTTTGAAATAAAATTGACATAATTATGATATATTTACTTAAAATAAAAGTAAAATCTAAATATAGAAAAACTTATTTATTACGTACTATACCAATTTATTTAAACAAATAACAATAAAGAATTGGTAATTAACATAAAAAGTAAATTATTAATAATTATAAATTGATTATAATATGTGAAAAAATTAAATATTTAAATAATTATAAATACTGTTCATAAGTAACTTACTGTGTAGTTTATAGGTGAAATTATACGAATGTTTCTGTGTTTCAGTAAATTTCTTATTCATTTTTTCAAATAAAATATTAAAAATCATATTTTTCTGGGATTTAATATTATACTATATATATATATATATATATATTATATATATATTTAAATTTTAATATTGAATCATTATTTAATTATTATTATAGTAGACTACCATCAAAATATATTTTTTTAAATACTACACTTTTTTATGTTTATTATTTTTCTATTTCAATTATAAATGTAAAATACTCATACAAATAGAAAATAAATCCATATTATAGGCATATCAACCATGTTTATATGGTGTAAGCTTACAATAGAATTTACCAGAACATTTTCAAGTATTATTGAAAGTCCTTGCTCTTATTATTACTATGGTATAGGATATAATTATTATTAATATAATAAATAATTTTTTGGTATAATTTTATTTAGGAGTCGATAAATTACTATATTATATTAAATATTTTGCGTATATAACATTTCAACTTACGAGTATCTATAATGACAACCTTATTTTAATAGATAAGTTAAAGAAAAAACTTTAAAAAATGCTAAGATGAGTGTTAAACTGATACAGCTTATGTAATCATGTATATTATACTAAAATTGAAGGTTCTAGAAAATTTAGATAAATGAAATAATATTTATAATTACATATTTTAAGAATTAATTATGACATAATATACTATAGTATCAACATAATAAATAATAATATAACTTTATAAATATACAGTAATGTAAACAATGAACGCTTCTTATAGGCTATAGTAATATCTAGCTGGACAGTTAGCTTTTTAAATAATATTACCTTATTTAGAAATGTTAAGGTACCATATAGGCAATTTATTCGACATAAATACAAATAATTTTGCTGTATCTGCATCAAAACCCATAAAACATAACTTGTTATCGATACTTCATGTAGTTCATAATACTTAATATTACAAATTTTTATTGTATAAAAAAAAAACACTTTATTATATTGAAGTTAAATAAGGACGTAACTATGTCAGTCAAGAAAAATGTTTACCTATATAATATAAGTATTGGATCGCTATAGTCTATAATTATAGACCGATAGGTACTTATATCGATTTATTTATACAACTTAATGTAGGTAGATACTTAATAAAATATCATTCTTTTTTCTTAGTATAACAACAGAAGAAACAGAAACACTTCCAGTGATATATTTAAGAACTTGCTCAAAAACAAAATACTGTTTAATCGTACAAGAACGTATAAAATTAAAAAAACAATTCTTGAAATAAAATAAATAATGATGTAAAAAAAATAATAATGCTACGCCACACCTTTAGGGTAAAATTAATGTGCACGGCGTGTGACGTAATAGCAGTATAAAATTAAAAATACAATAAAAACGCCACCCTCCCCGTTAAAAGAAGAAATCGACCGACCGTCTAACGACCGACGACGACTTCTTAGGGGGCCACCAAAGCACGCCGATCGATTAACACACGACTAGACCTGAGCATTATACGGTGACATTACAGCGCGATAATAACACGTAAATCGCAAGTGTCCCGGTGTGTTATCGTTCGCGACTGTGAGTGACGTTTCGCGCCCGTGAAGTCATGTACCCCGACCGAACTATTTTACCTACATCACGTGCGGCTTACCTGCTGATCATGTACCGGTGACTGTACACAGAATAATACTTGGTCGGCATATCGTGGTCGTCGTCAGCGTGTTAGCAGCGGCTGTTACCGAGGTTTTCGAACTCATAAATCCACTGATAAGGTGCGTGTTGACATTAAACTGTTGTGTTATCACGCGGTCTCCGTGAACGCAGCGTAACCATCGCGATGATGACCGGGCTGCGCCCGCGGTGGCGGGGCGAACGTCACGATATAGGACGCGAGTATTGATTTCTCGCGGTCGGCTGACGGTCGTCGGAATACCTCGTCACCCACCGTGCTTCGGCTAGTGTGGAGGCGACGGCGGCGGTCCGGTGGTAAAGTTTGCAGGGTCTTTCGTACACCCAGGCCCAATGACATCGTGTATCGCGATATCGGCAATAGATATTGAAACTGTCATAAATTTTGCCAACAGTGAACAGCTGCTGTTTCCGTCGGAATACAATTTCATACGTTCCTCGTGTCTATATTTCTACGACTTTGTGCAGGTATACATGAATACAGATTCCTATTCCATCACACACGTTTATTCATTGGCGTCTTTGCGACTGCACAGTAAAAATAAATGTGCTATGCATAGACACACAGTTAGCACGATTTATTTAGAGCAGGGATAATAAAATACTTGAATGTTCCACCGTGGGATGTGTCAGGGGGAATCAAGCGGTCAGCGAAAAAATATTTCTTGCACACGGGTCACTTAAACATCTTTGACGCTGTATTCAGTCATTAATAGCACATTGAAAACGGCAAAACGCTGCTTTTGTCCATTGAACATAGGTATGATACAAGTCAATAAATATTTAAGGATCTTACTATCATACGTCAAAATATTCGGTAATAATATCTGGGCCATAATATTAACTAAAAACCAAATAATAAACATTCATTAAAAAATATACCCAAAAAAATATTTCATAAACAATTTGAAATCATAATCACAAAAAAATATATTCAATAATTCAAATAAGTAACGGAGTATTTGAGTAATTAATGTAAATAATCAAGATGGAAATCAATCCCATTTATATGATACCAGCGAATACCC